CATTTACATGACTAACTTCCTCCTTTGCTTCCAGTTAAAGTAGCTTTCCTGTTGGACTACCACCACCTCTACAAAGTACAATTGTGAATTGATTCATAAAAACAGAAACATTATGGTACAAATAAGGGAAGGCATAAATACCAAATCCCTTCCCCCCCAAAATGGAAGCCCTAGTATTGTAATAACAAAATAAAAAGTATCACTTGTCATTTAAGTTTCCAAACCAACAATCGTCAGGATGCAGAGCAGGATACATCTAAAACGAGAAAGTTATTTACTCAACATTCAAACTAACACCAGAAGTTATGTTTTTTGGCAACAGGTATTACTCTTAAGAAGGTGCCAAAAAGGAGCACCTTTTACAAATGCTCATATTAAACTCCATTGAGAGCAAGTTCCTGCTATTTACAATCCAGGTTTACATCAATTTTTGTTACATTCCAACTTTATTAGACAAACTGAAAACTAAGGAAAGATTACCTGTTCTTAGCATTTAATGAATATTAACAAGGACAGTGGGAACCTGCAAGGCAGGTAAGTGGAATCAAGCCAAGTCTACCAGAGATCTATCAAAGTGATTGATGCTTCAGCATGTGTATGGGGGAAGAATTAAGGATTTTTCTAATGCAGCATGCAATTCCACCTTGCCCCATTAATAGGTGCAGTGAGAAACTGAGTTGAAAGGAAAAATTACACCCAGCTTTCCACCTTCAAAACCACATCTGAGGAGTGGGGAGATGCATCAGAATCTGAAAGCTGGGAGAAAACCTATGGGATTTGGTAAATAAGGGGCTGTTACTAAACAAGGGCAATGCATAGGGGGAGCACATGGACCTCCTGAGCACGACAGTGCACCCCCTACAAAAAGGTACCACTGACACTGTCAGCGGCGTCTGCAGGTGGTCCACAATAGCTGCTGGCCACTGCCGATGGCGCCTGTGGGTGGTCGCTGACCCCTGGCTGGTGCTCACCAGCACCCCCCCCATCCCTGGCGGCATCTAGGGGACTTCCACGCTTACCAGTGCTGCGTTCCTGCTGCTACTGTGCCCCGCCAGCTGCCAGAGGCACATGTCATTCATGATGATTAAGATGTGGGATGGGTTGACAGCTGAAGGAACCTATACTAGGCTTCCAAAGAACATCTGAAATTTAGACTTGTGATGAAGGTTACTCAACTCATGGTCTTCAAATCTAAACTTTCTTGCACTTTCACTGCTATCCAAGTGCTCCCTATTTTAAGGCCCAGTTTAACTTCCATTATAGAAAATGGAACACTTTCTACAGCCTTACTGGAACTTGGATCAGGCCTTTAACTGATTAACTAAAGGGCCCACCCTACCACTCTGCCCATTATTCTGCTTGAGCAAAGGGAATAGTGAAGTTTGAAAAATATGTTGAGAAATCATGCCATGGACACAAAAGATCAGGATGCAAAGCATTGGGAAATTAACTGTAAAACTAAGACCCTCAAGCCGTCCCCCTAATTTCCTTTTGGAAAGAGTAGCTGCCAGTGTTCTTTATTTTTGGCATGAAGTAAAAATTTCATTTTAATTATTTTTCATGAGAAAAATTTAAAAGGTATTCAGAACTTTTTTCACTCCATAAACATCTGACATTGTTATTTAGACCTAGAGATAACACAGAAGTGCTGAAATATCAGCATTTATTACAAAACATCTTGTAACATATCTAATTTTAATTATTCTCTTAATTACCCCAGACATTGTGAAGTTTCTTAAAAAAAAACAAACTTGGAACTAGAAATGCTTGGTTTTTACTACTTTATTCCATGATATCCATGGAATATCCATGGACACCCAAGGGGTGTCCATCCCGACAAGAAGCAAGGCGGGCAGGAGTGTCCAAAAGCCCCCCTGGCTCACCAAGGGTGTCCGGGAATGCCTACTTGCCAAAAGGGCGGCGTACGCCCGGTGGAAGTGGGGTGTAATCTCCAAAGAGGAGTATACCTCCTCTGCTCGGGCCTGCAGGCGGGCTGTTAGGAAGGCCAAGGCGGAGATAGAGCTCGGATTAGCGTCCAGGATTAAGGATAACAAAAAGTCCTTTTTCAAATATATTGGGAGGATGAAGAAGGCGCCGGGTAATGTGGGGCCCCTGCAGGATATGCGGGGCAATCTGGTGGTTGCGTCAGAGGATAAAGCGGATCTCTTTAACCAATTCTTCACCTCCGTTTTCTTGTGCAGGGAACGGGACTTCCCTGCTGTGATAGAAGCCGGACGCGAGGGGATCGCCTTCAGACCTCAGGTTGGGGAGGACCGGGTTAGAGAGCTTCTGGAGGGGCTGGACGCGTTCAAGTCAGCGGGTCCGGATGCTCTCCACCCCAGGGTGCTGAGGGAGCTGGCTGGGGTTATTGCAGGGCCCCTGGCACGGCTCTACGAGCGATCGTGGTGCCTGGGCCAGGTGCCAGACAATTGGAAGGTAGCTAATGTGGTCCCCATCTTCAAAAAAGGGAAAAGGGAGGACCCGGGCAATTATAGGCCCGTCAGTCTTACCTCAATCCTGGGGAAGCTCTTTGAGAAGATCATCAAGGAGCACATTTGTGATGGGCCGGCATCCGAGATGATGCTCAGGGGCAATCAGCATGGATTTATTAGGGGGAGATCATGTCAGACCAACCTGATTGCCTTTTATGATCAGGTCACAAAGGCCATGGATGCAGGTGTCGCGGTGGATGTAGTCTTTCTGGACTTCAGCAAGGCCTTTGACACCGTCTCTCACCCCATCCTAATTAGTAAACTAGGCGACTGTGGCATAGATGCCTACACGGTCAGATGGATTGCAGATTGGCTGAAGGGTCGCACTCAGAGGGTGGTGGTGGATGGATCATATTCGACTTGGGGGGAGGTGGGTAGTGGAGTCCCTCAGGGCTCGGTCCTGGGCCCTGCGCTGTTCAATGTCTTCATCAGCGATCTTGATGTTGGGGTGGAGAGCAACCTGTTTAAATTCGCTGATGACACCAAAATTTGGGGGGAGGTGAGCACGCTAGCAGGGAGAGAGAGATTGCAGAAGGATCTGGATAGGTTACAGGGGTGGGCAGACAGGAACAGGATGCGTTTCAATACGGACAAGTGCAGGGTGCTGCACTTGGGTAGTAGGAACCAGCAGCACACTTATACGATGGGGAACTCCCTACTTGAGAGCACGGAGGCGGAAAGGGATCTTGGTGTCATTATTGACTCCAAGATGAACATGGGCCGACAATGCGAGGTCATGGTTGGCAGGGCTAACCGGACCTTGTCGTGCATCCACAGGTGCATCTCGAGTAGAGCCAGGGAGGTGATCCTCCCCCTCTATGCGACGCTGGTCAGGCCGCAGCTGGAGTATTGTGTCCAGTTCTGTGCGCCCCATTTCAGGAGGGATGTGGACAACATGGAGAGGGTCCAGAGGAGGGCCACCCGCATGATCCGGGGACAACAGGGCAGACCCTACAGTGAGAGACTGCGGGAAGGGTGGCTAGGAGCTGGAACCAACTTCCAAGGGAGGTGGTGCTGGCCCCTACCCTGGGGATCTTTAAGAAGAGGCTGGATACTTACCTGGCTGGACTCATTTGAGTCCCGTTTTTGTTTTTAGGGTGAGTGTTTTTTTGTTTTTTTGTTTTTTTTTTGGGTTGTTCTCCCGCCCTGGCGGGGGGTCGGGCTAGAAGATCTATTAGGTCCCTTCCGACCCTGAAACTATGAAACTATGAAATTGAGGTACTGCCCCAATTAGAACGGTGGACAGGATTACACAATATCTGTGGGCAAGCTGGCAGAGTCTTAGCTCAGCAATCTAATTATACCTTCTTATCCTCAACTTAATGAGGAACACACCTTTAGAGCATGTCCACATGAGCATGCGTGTGTGATCTGCGGTGCCTCAAAAGCTTTTGAGGTGCTACAAAATGTACCCCCAAACATGATTTGGTTCTCTGCACTGCATATTTGCAGTTTGGAGTCAAATTTAGGTACCAGAAAATCCTGGCATCAAAAAAGCACACCGCAAAAAAGCAGGACAGCATACATGGAGGCAGTGTGCACTGCTTGAAACTGGCACCTAGCTGGCCAGAACCATGCTCCAGCTGTCGGCCAGGCTCTGTGCACCTGGATGGTCAGTGCTGCAGCCCCAGAAGGCCCCCCCAGATAAGGCTGTGGGGGCCAGCCCAAGTACTAGTGCCAGCCTCCTCTATCCCACCCAGGGGAATTTGCCCCCAAATCCCCAAGGCATTCCCCAGGGATGACCAGCACTGGCACAAATAAATGTGTGAGACACTGCTATTCATCCCCAGGGAAACGCACATGCATGCTCCTCTGGTCACACCCTTAGAATTTATCTATCATCTCTTTCATAGTAACCACAGTAACAGATATTACTTTTGCTATATACATTTTTCTGAAATTTTAGAAGGAAAGTATAGTAGGTTTAGAGGGTATAGTATTTAGAAAGGGAAAAAAAATGATTAAAAAGTTAATTTGGTCTAAACTAGCTTGAATTATAGTATCCTTTGAAGATGAAAGACTTTTATACAGATAGTGTAATAGATTTAAAGAAAAATATTGTGCCTAAATGGAAGTGTTGTAGGAAGCTATGAATTCAGAACTGGAAGTCCAGACTAATAATTTATAATCCATATAACTACTAATGAGTAAATCAAGTCACTACAATAGCCTTGAGAAAATTAACTGTGTTTCTCTCCAGCCCCCCTCCACCCTTTACAGCTGGTGAAATTAAAATACTACTTACCTCTTTCATAGGTGGTGTTAAAAATCCCAATTTGTACAACACATTAAAACAGTATTACAATATTAAATTAGCTTCTCACTGCAAGATACTTTTTACATAATTTTTACTTTCATTTAAATTGGAAGCCATGGTTAATGGATAGAATTAAAAGAACAAATAAAAACAGAATATGTAAACTATTCCTTTGGATAGCATTTTCTAATTAAATTCTGCATCAGATCACCGATTAAGGTGCCAAGTGGCAAATCATAGCAAAAGAAGCGTGTCTGAACATGTATTTTATTCATATCAGATTTTACAGCATTTCTAAAGTTGGAATTTCTCACTACGCCATATTAAGGACAATAAAGAAAAAAAATGAAGATGTACCTGTACCATTATACAATCATGAATTTATAATAATACTCTGACTAGTACAATAAAATGTACTAGTAAACAAATCCCATTTCTAATCCATTATTTCACTGCCAGATGTTTCCTGTACACCTGCAGTTGTCTCCAAATCCAGACTTCATGAGCTATAGTATTTTAGCAACCTCTCATCTACTGGTTTAAGGATTTTCTTTTCACTCATGTTCACCACCCAACCTGGAGCAAGACCAAGGAAAATCTGTCTAGGATCCTTGCGTGTACTTAGCATTTGGAAGAGTTCATCTTTTGTCATGTCTGGTAAAACAAAACCATATTTCTTGGCAAGTTCAAGCCTGGCTTCTAGAACCTTTGATGGATCTGCCAAATACCCACGATTCTTGGGATCTGTGTAATAACGAACTAGATCTTCAGGTGGAAGCATGCGCTTTGGAATAGGCTGACCACGCAGAAAAAATGGTACTGGCTTGCACACTATATCTGTGGACAAGCAAAAGGTGGAAGAGAGATTGAGAATTAGCTACAGTGTTTCATAATGAGGGTTAAAAACATTAGATAATATTCTGCCACTACAAATATCTATTCCCTAGTCACGAAGGTATTTTGCATAAGGAAATAAAAGAAGAATATTTTTTGATACACCAGACAGCAGTAAGTTTGCACAAATTGGTCTAATAAAAGATATCAGATTTCCCCAAAGATCCTTGTCTGTTTTTAACTGAACTAAAATTTGTGTTTAAAAAGGAAAACTGAGCTACCCAACAAGCTTCTGACAATCTTAAGTACCCATTTCAAACTTATTTGGAATGTCTACGTTGGAAAAGATATGGCAAAGTAAATTAAACAGCAACTGCATGGTGATCTTCAGAAGACTTGCTTGTCACTTAGGACTACTATTGGCAAATTCTTATAAATCTTTCAAAGTTAGTGCCCCAAGTAGTATGTGTAAAGTGCAACCCTTAAAAGCAGAGGGCTTCTGCCTAACTTATGGAGAACATCTTTAAGACTGTAGCACACTAGGAAAACGACATTCCTTAGTTTAACTACTGTTCAGGGATATTTTTTTGTGCTGACTTAGAAAGACAAGACAGAACAAAGAATTTGCTCAATAAGGATATATCCACTGATTGTTTGTCCATGCATGCAACTTTCATTAACTCCAGTGAGAATGTGCATGTGAACACTGGGCAGAACATGAACCCAACCCAAGTCAAGCACTTCAGTAAGGATTTTTATAAGAAATCAACAGCCGTTTTGTTTTGGGTACGGGGCAGGTCTGACCTCCTCTAATGTTACTCTTCTGACAAAATGAAGTATCTGTTCTTGACAAGAACTAGATGATTAAAGTGTTTCAAGTGCACATTTCAGTTGGAATTTGCTTTTTTTTTTTTTGTGCTAAAAATGGCACCCCATTTTAAATGAAAAAAAATAGAATATTTTTTTGGCAAAAAAGTGTACTCAATTTAATCTAAAAAAAAATCTACCATACAAAATCTGTTCTTTTCCACTATGACTAACTTTCCCCCTCTTGTAGAATGTTTCATCAAGTGCAATTGTAAAGTTTCTGAAGAGCCAAGCAAGGTAATTTTCCATTCAAGAACAACCACTTGGGGCTCCAAACCTACAAATCTGACAACCTCCTAAATAAGGGATTTAGACAGCATCACTGGCACAGGTAGAGCCAAAAGAAAAATAATAAATATGCAAGCCTGAATGAGTACTACTCCTACGGAAAGACTGTTGTTTTTTGGGGGTTTTTTTAGCAGATTTCTGTTATACTACATTGCTATAAACAGAGCTCCTCTGGATGTTTAAAATGTCTCTCTTTTTCAAACTGCTGGAAAGAGATCTATGACAGAAACCTCTCTTACCTCTAACCCTTTCCCTCCACCCACCAAAAAAGGAAGTAGGAAGATGAAGGGCAAGTCTTACCCAGACTCCTTTGATCATAGAAGGCTGTTGTAATAATCCCTCCATTTTTTTCAATTACAGCAACAACTAACTCAGGTGCCATCTGCACTTCAATATTTACTTTTGCTGAAAAGATATCAGCCCCCTGTAAGTTTCAAAACAAAATCTGTTTAAATTAGCTACAGTTAAACTGAACATTTTGGAAGCAATATTTAACCACCAGCTTTACATATCCTACAAAGATAATGTTTTATCACAATTCTACAATATCCCGTTATATAGTTCAATCTGCTTTAATCAGTCTTCACTCCTTACCTCAACAGACAAAGAAAAAAAAAAAAGTCATGAGCAAAGTGCATTTCTTTCAGGCCTAGCTTTCAGCCATACAAGACTATTAATGAATAGCTGAAAGCTCTCACAACCACTATAGACAACTCTTAAGCTTATGAAGTTTAAGCTAGGCCAAGCTGCTCTTTACAGTAAGATTTTACCCAATGAAAGTGCACATTTAGATAAAAAGCAACCAATCAATTCAAACTGTTGAATTAAATATTTACTTCATACACACCTGTCTGCTACCACTGCCATAACATTGGGTTACATCTCTACCTTGACTTCATTTCTCATTCATACTAGTCTCTGCTTGCCTTGATTGCAATAACTCCTATTGCACATTTTGCTCCTCCCCCCAGAATAGCATAAATTATTTATGTATACCACCAAGTGTAATCAAGTTATTCTTATTTGTTCACTTAGATTATTTCACTACAGTTAATTCAGTATACTCTTCCTTTGTTCTAATGCAATTGGTCAGTCTCTTCATGTGCGTGCGTTAGCTTTCCCAATATGGGAAAAAAAATGTATTTTGCAAACAGTGCTGCTTTTCATGAATAAATAGTGCCCTCTAGTGGCTTCCAGATTACAATACTGTACTTGTGTCACACTAGTAACAAGATTATCTTTTGGAAAAGCATGGTACTTCCAGAAGGTAAAGGGGAGTACTGTAAGAAGCAGAGAGATGGATCCACCACCACCTCCCCAAAAAAGAACAGGTTTACCTTACCCTGCCTAGTATTAAGTTAAGGATTTCAGACCAACCTCCTCCACTAGTTGGACACCATAATCCCTTTTGAGTGGCTGTATTGTCACACCCCTGGAATTCGTGAGTTGCGTCAAGTCGATTGGCTGTGTGGGGTCAAGTCTACCCAAGTCAATAAGATACTGTAGCCTTCTCAGACTGAGGGGATGATACTGGCGCCTGAGACTGAAAAAAAAAGCAAAGACATTCACAGCGTCTAGATGTGAAGGTACATGTTTTAATAAGCACAATGCAAGTCAAATCTCAAGCTTTGATAGATAAATGAGTAGTAATAAAATGATAAAGAGGTAAATAATTCCAAAAAATTTTCAAGAATAGGGACACTTAGCAATAGGGGCCTATTTGTATCTAGTCTATTATCACAGTGTCTAGGAGCTCTGCTCATGGATATTTCACTATACATTCTGTTCCCTGCCTTTAATATAGCAAGGTACGTTGATGGCTTCCTATAACTGGACTCATATCTCATGAAGAACAAACTGATCAGTTGCTAGGGAGTCTAACTGTAGATGTTTTGGCACAGGCAAAGTGCAAATCTGAATAAATTAACTTGCAAACCCCTTGGTTTGAGACAGCGTTAAGAGAACTGCCTTTTCCAAACAGTCTTTCTAAGCAGCCTTATCAACAAATTTGAGCATCTGACTCAATGGCATCCAAACCTACTCAAAACATCTTAGACAATTTAATGTGATCAGGTTTTTGTGCCCGCTCATCTGAAAAAAAAATGTCATGGCTTCTTTTATGGGTTTTCTTTTTTAATCTGAGCATCACACAGCATGTAGTTTTATCCCCAGAACACAACTAGTTTGAGAAACAGGAGATGCATACACAACACAAAGGTTTTCTTTGTGAACCAGCTTCATACAACTCCCAAAACTGTCCCAAAAATCCAAACACCCACTGCCACTCCAACCCTGACAATGCAACACAAGGTTGTCCCCTGCCACTGCTCCCAAACATGCTTGAGGCATACCTCAAGAGTGGTATTCTAAACTGCATCCAAGACAATCACAAAATACAGACGACTATTTTTTTTTTTTTAATTGCAATAATTTTAACTCTGATGGTCATTAAAACCATCATGCTTTCCACATAAATCTCCAACTTTCAATTCCAGTGTCTGTGTTTTTATGGAGTACTTATGAACCTCACTGCTACTGCCATGAATCCTGGAAGAAGAATGAAACTAAAAGGAATTAGGTTAATTTTTCTCTGCTATTTGGAGAGGTTGTGCATGACAAAAAAAGAGGGCAGGCACTGGAGCTGAGCCCTAGGAAGATGGGTCAGGACATGCAAGAGAAGGATGAAAGACCACATATAATGCCTTCACAACACCAAAGAACATTGAGGTAAGTGTAAATCAAGAGAAATGCTCATGCACAGCAGCCAGGAAATGGGGAGGGAGGGAGGGAGGAGAACGACACCTAAAGTTCCTCATTCCAGTCATCCTCACTGAAGTGGATAGAAAAGGAAGGGGCATATGGAAGAGAGAAAGTTTGCTTACAATTGCTAAAGAATATTCTGGAGTGCCAGTTTCAGGATTATAACAACATCTGCTAAAAAGCTGATGATGAAGATGATACTGCCAGTCATTGTTCAGGGCAATGGACTTGACTGGAATTCCAATAACCTGTACTCCCCAAGCAGAATTGTAGAGGGGGAAACCTAGGGAATGGGTGTCTTGTATAAAGTCAGCAGGTAACAAGTTATTAATGATTTAATTATTACAAATATGAATGAAACCTAAATACATGGTGTGCAAAACATTGCAAGAAAAATATCTTTCCAACATACAGACCGATTGATTTCTGGGTGAAGAGCGAAGGAAAAAACACAAAAAATAAGGGAGAAAGGTAATGAAAAATGTGTAAAGGGGGTGGGGAGGGGAAGAGGGGAAAAAAAAAAAAAAAAGCATGATATCAACACTGAAGACAATTCAGGAAGAAGGGATCTCCCCTCTGTCCCACTACCCTCTTAAAACATCACAAAGCCATCCACCATGATCCATCATAGGGAAAAAAGCAGGCACTGGCCCAAAAGAAAAAGAAAGTATAGAAAGCTGGCTGAATCATTTGAAGTTCATCAGTACCACTCAACTCAAATAATTCTCTGAGCAAGTTGTAGTGACAGCCTTACTTTATTTGAACTGCATGACTACATTATGTTCTCTTAAATCATCTTTTTAGCTCTTTGGGTATAATAGAAAGTTATATCCAAAACCAACATAATAATTATGTTAGAAGTGTGGTGACACCTGGCTAGTAAGCTCTGGCATCACCTATCAAACAACAAGTAAGCTTTTCAAGCTCTAGAAGTATTTTTTTTTTTAAACATACAAAAACTGAGGCTAAAAGATTAAGTTAAACAGAAAACCTATGATATTTGATTATACATTCGCTGATATATACTTGTAATACCCTAAATGCATATAAGCTTTTCTGTATTGGAACTATATAAAATGATTACCTAAATTCAACCCAACCTAGAAGAGGTGGATAGCAGAGCATGAAGCCTTTCTAGAGCAGAGAGGGCCAACTTTTTTGGCAGGCATGCCAAGTTAGCCCTGCATACCAAATGCCACTACAATCCTCTTCCTCCTCCCAGTCTTCCACTATGCTTTCTGCTCCTTGCCCCATCTTGTGCTCCAATTCCTGCTCCCTGCCCCATCTACTGTTCTGCTGCCTGTCCCTTCCCTGATCTCCTCCATGCCACACAGATTTTAGAGTATCCTTGTAAAGTATCAATACACTTCTTTTGGTTAGGATATTAGCAGAAGTGGTTAGAATATACTCCTGCAGCCTACAAGGGTTGCTACCATCTGTGGACATTTATACACTGCTCCAACGCTCCTGAGCGGACTTCATTAATTGTATCTGCTCCGCACGCGAGCTGACATGCCCGGCGCTGCATTGCATACATTTGTATAAATAGCGAAATGTGTGTCAGCAGTGACAAAATGGTGGCGGTGTGCTTCTGAAGTAAAACACCTTTGTTATGTTTCAGTTCAAAAGCGCGGCCGCTGCCATTTTCTCAGCGCTGACGCACACTGCATTATACAAATGCATGCACCAATGCCAGGTGCCTTTAAAAGTGCCTAGTGATGTGGTGCAAGCATATCTACATGTGCCCTATATTCTGGCAAAGTCTGACAGCTTTTAAGTATAAGATAGTTCATAGACTAGTTTGAGTTAAGAGAAAAAGCCTTTCACCACACAAGTTATATATATATCTTTTTATGTTTTTGCTTGTAAAACATCACAAATTCCTTCACGAACTTACTATGATTAATTCGTAGTCTTGGTGCATTCTACAATATTCCAAAGGTGATTAAACAGAGTGACATTTATTCACTTTTAAATGCGTGTAAATGGAGGGATGTGGCAGGGAAAGTAATGCACACTGAACAGGATGGAATCTTTAGTGCCCCAAGTTGTAAATTAGAAGCAGAAAGATTAAGAAAGAAGCTGTTGTGGATGCCACACACATGCGCGCACACACATCAAGTTAAAAAGAAATTAAGACAGAGTATGATTGGTGTTATCTTGCACCCAAAATATATACACTTTGTTGTCATAGTTTAAAAAAAGTGGGACAAAAGGAGAAACAGATATCACAAGAGTGTAGAATAGTAGCTGAAATAACTTTTGAGAAAATATTTAATGTGGAAAATTAAAGTTACACTAGCAGAGGGAAGATGTCCCAAAAATATGCACTATGAATGAGGTACAAAAATACTAATGGTAGGTGGCTACAGAGCCAAGCAGACTCTAGGACACAAGAAAGGTGTCACAACCCAAAGGGTGTGATTTTTGTTTTTGTGTGCTTCGGCACTGCTAAATTGTTCCTGCTAAATTATCGCTTCCTTGCACGGTGGAGTTTTCTGCTGCAAAAGAGAACCCCGGTGCAAGGGAGAATTTCCCGCCAATTTGAAGCTTTCTTTGCAGGGTGCATTTCTTTGTTGCAGCACAGAAATGCTCGTTGCAAAGAGTTCCCGCCATCTGTATGCTAATTCGAGTCCCATTATTGGCCAGTTCTAAATTATTCACACGTGGCGGCTAATGATTGGCTTGCTAGCCGTATAAGAGGCATGAGTGGTTTCCGCCCAAGTTGGAGGTCTCCACGAACAAGGGAGGAAGAGACTTCACGCTGTGTCAAGATCTCTATTCCCGCGCGCAAGAGAACCGGACCCACGGAGCCTAGCAAACTTCGTGTGAGTGAGTGAACAGAAGAACCCACGGAGCCTAGCAAACTTCGTGTGAGCCCTTACGACTGGCCTCAGAGCTCTTCTACCCGGGTTCGAGTCCTGCAGGTTTATTTTTCCCGTCGCCGGAACCCTTTGCGACGTACCCTCGTGCCCTGCAGGTTCGAGTTTTGTTTTCTTTTCTATCTGTAACCGCAACCCAAGCAAGCTTTCCAGCCTGCACCACTGCCATCTTGGTGTAAGTAAACAATCTTTAAAACTACTGATACACATCTGTGCCTAATTCCAGCTCGACGGCCTTCCCTCTCCGACCCGGCGTGCCCGGGCTGCTGGCCACAGCCCACGTGCAGCACGAAAAAGGGCTCGGGTCGCTCCCGGCCCGCACAAAAGGTAGAGAGGGAAAACAGAGTGGGGCACTTCACTCAGGCCCTTCAGGTCTGCCATTAAGCACGTTGGCAAAATCCAAGGGAGAACACCAGTACAAAGTGGCAAAGACAGAAACTACAAGATTTCCTGGTTACATCTATACCAGCCATAGGCAACTCCTGGCATGGATGCTGGAGTATGGCATGTGAAGACATTTTGCTTGGCACGAGTGCTTTGGAGCAGCAACAACAAGGATCAGGCCCCTCATGGCTTCCCCACCATCTACCCTCGCATGCCAACATTTTACAAGTCAAGGTTGTGGGTGTTTTTGGCACTTTGCCCAAAATTGTTGCTGACCCCTGGTCTGTAGCATCTCCAGAGCAAAGCTGAAAGCACCACAAAGGAAGTTTCTTGTGCACCCAAGCCAACAAATCAGAGTAGCTGACTTTGGAGCATCATTATGCACAAGAGCCCAACACGGTGTTCCATCTCTCTTGAACACGTGCCAAACTACTCAGGTCACTCTCAAGGCATCTTACCTCAGTTTTCAGACTTATGTCTCATGGAGCACATGGAACTTATTTCTCAAAAACACTTCTAGGCTTGCTCCCGAGAAAGCACAGACACATCCTCTATGTGTAGATATGTTCAATACAGTAGGCCTGATCCAAACTCCCCTGGAGCAAAGTCTTTCATCCACTTCAACAAATTTTAGCTTAAACCCAACAAAAGCACGTGCAAATGATAAAAAGTGACAAAGAACATAGTAAACGTGCAGTGGGGCAGAAACAAGACAAGACAACAAAAGGGAAGAGGCAGTTAAATGTGAAAGAGAAGGTAGAGTGCCAAGTATCATGACCAGGAGTAAATAGTGGGGAGAAAGAAGAGAGGTTAATGCATTAAAAGTGTTTTCATAAATTAAGCTGACCACACGCTCAAGGTGAAGAGCTATAAATGCAAGTGATACTTCTCAAGATAAATCTAGGAAAGGAATTTACCTGTGTCCCTCATTATACCCGTATTTTGGAATAACCAAATAAAACGGAGTCTGGCCACCCTCAAAGCCTAATCGGGGACGATTTCCTCCTCGTGCGTATCCTTTGTGGCCTCGACCACCTCCATGACGTCCACGTCTACATTTTGTCTAAGGAATAATACATACATTGGTTAATTACATGATGGTCATCAATTCTGCATATACAGTGCACATTTTACAGAAATAAGACTGACCGATGACTAGGCTTGGCAAGATTCAATTTAAAAAAAAAAAGTAAACATTGACAAACAATGATTTTACCTCACACTCACAGCCTGACAAAATGTATTTCCAGGGGTAATCAAAATTTATAGAAAGGGAACGCAAGAAAAATAATGGCTGATGTGATGGAGTGTGTGATGACAGGGGGAGTAGTCCTACAGAACCATGCTGACCGTAGTTCGGACTACAACTCTCAGAACCTTTAAGGGACCGGGAATAAAGGAAGAGGAGGTGATAAAGCAGACAACGGAGATATGAACAAGCAGAGCCAGGACTAATGGCACCTCTGCAACTCAGCTGGCAGCAGTCCTACAGTAGTTAGTTATACATGTCATGGTGGGTCACTAAATCGTACTATAATAGTAGTATACTATCATTAATAAGTTGTCTGCTCCCCACAACCCTAGTTTTGCACAATCCTGAAAACTTAAAAACTGATACAAAATCTAAATGAAAGCTTAAAAATAAACATTAATTTTTTGTTATAATTTTAACAGATAATACCAAAGTCGAATCCTGTCAAGCCTACTGATGATTCACTGTAAGGCAATTAGGCCATCAGAAATAGCAGAGATTCTAGGGGTACAATGATAGAGATTTTGGAAGCAAATACCAATAGCCAATATTGAAATCAACACATCAGCCAATACCGATCTGATACAGCTGCCATCAAGTGGTAAGTCTGGTGCAGTGGAAGAGGAAGGGGGAGGGAAGGGGTGTTGAGGGGCAGATCAACACCCCCATGGTGAGGAAGGGGGAAGGTGCTGCCCAGCCCAGGTGGGGGGGGTGGTGCCCCGCCCAGGGGGGGGGGGGGGGGTGCAGGACGAATGCGTGGCTTGTGGGGTGGCGGCAGCTCCCACTGCTGCTTGCACACCAGGAGTGCTTATAGGGTGGGGTGGCTACGTTCAGATCTGTGTGGTGCAGGGTGGGTGGCAGCTGGGGGTGGAGCTAGAGCTATGCAGGGCTCTTGCCACTGGGGGCTGGGTTTGGATCATGCCCTGGCAGCACTGGGAGGAGGCTGCAGACACCCCAGATTTTGCTGCAGCTCCCCTCCCAGCCCCATGCCGCCACCCGGCGCAGCCCTGGCTGAATGCCCTGCCTCCACCCAAGGGCTGGGAAAAGCCAGGGCTGCGCTGGCTGGCAGGCAGCAGTGCAGGGCTGGGAGTTGAACTGCAGTGAAATCTGGGGTGGCTGCAGCCTCCTCCCAACACCGGCAGAGTCAGCTCTGCTCCTCGCTGCCTGAGTGCCGTGCTGCGGCAGTGTGCAGCATGGGCATTTATCAGCTAAATTATCGGCCCCATCGGGCCATATCCAATACAACCAGTTTTCTTTATATCAGTACCAATCCAATATTGAACCAATGTAACTGGTGCACCTCTAGCAACAAGGAGATCAGGGATAGTGTGGGTCCCTCACTGAATAAGGGAGGCAACCTACTGACAGATGAGGAGGAAAAATCCCATTTTTACCTCAGTCTTCATGGGCAAAGGCAGCTCCCAGACTACTGCACTGGGCAGCACAGTTTTGGGAGATGGTGAGCAGCCCTTAGTGGTGAAAGAACAGGCTATTTAGAAAAGCTGGACATGTACAAGTCCATGGGTGCAATGCATCCAAGGGTGCTGAGGGAGTTGGCTGATGCAACTGCAGAGCCATTAGCCATTATCTCTGAAAATTCATGGCAATCAGGGGAGGTCCCAGATGACTGGAAAAGAGCAAATACAGTGCCATCTTTAAGAAAGAGAAGAAGTATCGAGGGAACTACAGACCAGTCAGCCTCACCTCCATCCCTGGAAAAATCATGAAGCAGGTCCTCAAAGAATCCATTTCTAAGCACTTGGAGAAGGCAACATTGATTAGGAACAGTCAGCATAGATTCACCAAGGGCAAGTCATGCCCGACCAACCTGACTGTCTTGTATGATGAGATGACTGGCTGTGGATGTGGGGAGACCAGTGAACGTAATACACCCCTACTTTAGCAAGGCTTTTGATACCATTTCCCACAGCATTCTTACAAGCAAACTGAGGAAATATGGGTTACACAAATGGACTGTATGGGGGCTAGAAAGCTGGCTGGATTGTCAGGCTATCATCAATGGCTCAATGCCTAGCTCACAGCTGGTATCAAGTGGAGTGCCCCAGGGGTTGGTCCTGGGGCTGGTTTGGGTTTTGTTCAGTATCTTCATTAATGATCTGGAAGGTAGGATGAATTGCAGCCTCAGCAAGTTTGAAGGTGACACCAAGCTGGGGGGTGTATTGGATAAGCTGGAGGGTAGGGCTAGGATTCAAAGAGTGACCTAGACAAATTGGAGGATTGGGCCAAAATAAAATCTCGTGATGTTCAACAAGGACAAATGCAAAATCCTGCACTTCGGGCAGAAAAATCCCATGCACCGCTACACCCTGGGGACTAACTGGCTAAGCAGCAGCTTTGCTGAAAAGGACCTGGGGGTTAGATTAGACAATCAAGGCTAACAGCATACTGGGCTGCATTAGTAGCAGAGTTGCCAGCAGATCAAGGGAAGTGCTTATTCCCCTCTATTCGGCACTGGTGAAGCCACATCTGGAGTACTATGTTCAGTTTTGGGCCCCCCACTACAGAAAGGATGTGGACAAGTTGGAGAGAGCCCAGCAAAGGGCAATGAAAATGATTTGGGGGCTGGAGCGCATGACTTCTGAGAAGAGGCTGAGAGAACTGGGTTTATTTATTTTGAAGAGAAGACTAAGAGGGGATCTGATAGCAGCCTTTAACTACCTGGAGGGTGGTTCCAAAGAGGATGGAGCTAGACTATTCTCAGCAGTGACAGAACAAGGAGCAATGGTCTCAAGCTGCAACAAGGGAGGTTTAGGTTGGATATTAGGACAAACTCTCTCATTAGAAGGGTGGTGTATACTGGAACAAGTTACCCAGGGAGGATGGGGACTCTCCATCTTTGGAGGTTTTCAAGACCCTGTTAGACAAAGCTTTGACTGGGATGATCTAGTTTGGGGGGGGGGGGGCGGGGGGGTTTGGTACA